TTTTTTTTTTTTTTTTTTTTTTTAAAAAAAAAAAAAAAAAAAAAAAAAAAAGAATCACTACATCTAAAATACATTTTTTTTTTTGCATGAATAAGTAAATTTTTTTTTTTTTATTTTTAGGTATACTTATTATTTAAATATAAGGCTAGCTATTGTTTATTTTTTATGTTTTTTTATATTTTTTTTTTTATCATCATACAAGAAATAGCAATAAATATTTCAATAAAAAAAAAAAAAAAAAAAAAAAAAATTAATTAAATTAAGGAATCCTTATTAAAATAATTTTACTGAATAGTTTAATAAAGGATAAAAATGAAATAATTTATCGAATTATTTTTTAAAATAAGTAAATTAAATGAATCAAATCATTGAAATAATTTATAGTAAACCCATTCATAAGAATAATACATAAACAGTTATACATAAATATACTATTAAAATACTTGGAAATGAACAAATATCGAATTAACAATAAAATTTTTTTTTTTATAAATATTAATACATAGATTATGTTATTTAAGTTTCATTCTAGAAAGAATGTTTTGAAGGATATCAAATTCTCTTTACAATTTTATAGATTTCTTCTTATCAATAACAAAGATTTATACAGTAAACTAAAATATAATAATTATATTATTAAATTGATTAAAAATGTAAAAAAAATTAATGAAATTGAATATAAAAAGGAAAATGATGTATCTAATTTAGATTTAAGCTTTTCTTATCTTTATAAAAATGTCATTATTAAAAGTAAAAATGAGGAGAAACATTATGACATGCAAAATGGATTAAAATCATATAACTTATGTTGTAATTACGAAATTATAACCAACAAAAATGATACAAAAAATTCAAATGATTCAAAAAAAATATTTTATTACATTATAAATTCTATAAATATCTGTACTTCACAGCATATATTAATGATATTATATAGCTTCTTAATTTATAATATAAATATAGAATATTTAAAAAGAATAAATGAGCATGTTTTAAATAATATATATAATTTTAAAACAAATGAATTAATTTTAATTCAGATGTTTTATGCATATTTCGAAATTAAATCTAGTAGAAGAAAAAATGATTTATCTGATATTTTAAAAGTTAATTTAATAAATGGTTCAAATACTAATTCTTTCAATACTATAAATCATAGCGTTGAGATATATAATCTTGTGAAAGATTTGATTAAATATGGAAACTATTTATTTTATAAAAGAAAACAAAGTTTACTTCTAAATGATATTTCAGATATACTTTTTTTATATTATAATTACAATATATATAATAAAGAATTATTTGATTATTTTGTTGCTTCTCTTGACAGCAATTTAAATTCAATAAATGTAGCCAATTTAAAAATTCTTTTAAAAGAAAAAAAAAAAATTAAGAATTACAATGACTTAAATAATTTTAATTTAATTATTAATTGCTATTATTATATATCATGCATGAAAATTGTTGAGTTAAAAAAAATTTTTTTTTTAAATTTTTACGATTTCCTATTAAAGAATCACTTACTACATGATTTATCTTTACACCATTTGTTGTTATTATTGAAAATAACTGAAAATATTCAAAATATAGATTTGAAATTATCTATTCTAAATTTAATTGATAATATACTAAAATTAAGTAATGATATAATAGAAAATAATATAACAGTTTGCAAAAATTTTGAAAAATGCTTAAATGTGTTTAATTCCATTTTCTCATATTGTGAGAAGTTTAATTATATAAACAAAAATGAAAAAGTTGATTATAATTTAAATACTAGAAATTACGAAAATGGTTTTAGAAATAGTACTACTGATGGTTGCATAGGCACAAATTACATTAATAATAAAATTAATGACAGTTTAAATGAATATAATGAAAAAGATCTTATTAAGAATAATTACATGTATAATAATCTCAGATGTATAAATAATGATTCGTTAAATAACAACAATAACAACTCAATTAATCATTGTTTTATTGAAGATAGTATTAATATAAAAAATGGTGAACAAAACAAAAGTATAATACTACATGAACAAATCAAATTCTTAGATGGAATAAATCAATATATTAGGAAGAAATGTATTGATAATGAATATCTAAAAATTCTTCTTACAAGTGTTGCTAATACATCAAATTATAAAAATATCTTAATATATTTTTTAGATATTTTATATAAGAACAAAAATATAGACATATTGTTATATTATATTGATCTATTATGCACATATATAAATAATATATATGTATTATTGCATGTAGATTATTTTTATAAATGTATTATAATTGGAAAATATAAAGATTTCACTTCAGACAAAATAATCATATTAATATCTTGCCTATTTAAGTTTATACATAATAATAATTACATAAATTCTATCAATAAAAACAATTTTGATAATAATAACAAGGAATTTTTTTTATTACTATATAAGAATAACTTCGATATGTATGAATATGTTAAGAATAATTTATTAAACATGAATTTAAATGAAATAAAATATTTAGATGAATTTTTATTTCATTTAACTTTTAAAAATATGATAAAAAATACTTTTATATGCTTAGAAAAAAATATATTTTATTTATATAATTTGAAAGCAATAGATAAACTTCTTTATTATTTTTTAAACATATATATTTATTACAGTAAATATTCACCTAAAGATAATTTTTTAGCAGTTAAAATTTCCACGTTGCTTTTTCATAAAATATTTACTTTAAATTTTTTAAATATATATAAAAATTCAAATAATAAATTTCATGATATAGTCAAAAAAATTTTAATTTCCATTAGATTAGATAAAGATTTAGATGAAGAATTAATAAATTATATATTGAACATATATTTTCAAAACGATGTTTCTTTCTCTAATTATAATGAAGACATATTTAAATATATTACAAATATTTTAGAAGATGTTTTTAAAGTTAGTTTTGATCTGAAATATAAAAATGATGTTATTCTATTTGATAATTCAAATTGTGAATTTCTTAAAATAATAAGTATGAAAAGTTTAATAGAAAATAATTTTAACAATAATTTAGTTAATTTGATTTTTTTAATTAACAATAAAATAAATTTTAATAATTTATTTAATAAAATTAAAGAATATTTATACTCTTATGCTATATAAGATTTTATTGTTTCATTTAATTCTATTTTTTTTTTTTTTTTTTTTTTTATTCTATTAATGAAAATTTTCATTTTTCAATTAATTTTATGTTTAAATTATTCTTTTAATATATTATTTTAATATTTTATCGTAAAAATGATAATAAAAATTTTTATTTTTATGTTGTTTATTTCATTTTTTCATTTTTTTTTTTTTTGAGTTATATATTTATATTCTTCTACTTCAAATGGAATAATTATTCTTTAAAATAAAATAAGAAAGATACATATATATAGATTATATAAATATTTATTTAATGTTTTTTATTCTATATTTAACTTGAAGATCAATTATCACAATGTTTTTGTGACGAAAACATTTCACCAAAAAAAAAAAAAAAAAAAAAAAAAAAAAAAAAAAATAATGTTTTTTATTCAAAATTTAACTTGAAGATCAACTATCACAATGTTTTTGTGACGAATAATTTAAACATAAAATTAATTGAAAAATGAAAATTTTCATTAATAGAATAAAAAAAAAAAAAAAAAAAAAAAAAAAAAATAGAAGTGTGCACATATAAGATTTATTATTCTTTAATTTGATAAAAAAATGATGCCATGTTTTTTTTTTCTTTTCTTTTACTTTTTTTTTTTTTTTTTGAAAGTTTTTGTTCTTTCTATATTAAAAATTTTTCCTTTGTTCATTATAAAAAATAAAAATATTTAATGAGGATAAATTCATTAAATGAAAATTGTTTTTTTTTTTATTTAATTTTAATAAAGACAAAACATTTTAGTGTAATATAATTTAAAGGTTTATATACAGTAATGAGCATGATCATCAAAAGAAATAAATTAAATGCATTAACTATATTTTAACTTTTTTTAAAAAAAAAAAAAAAATTTCCATTAAAAAAAAAAATGTAGGCCATGCTTTTAAAAAAATATAAAAACAAATATTCAAAAATTTTTATAAAATTACAGAGTTTATTATTAAAAAAAAAAAAAAAAAAAAAAAAAAAAAAAAATATTAAAAATAATAAAGTGAAACATATTAAATAAAGGAAATAACATTAATAAAATATAATTCATTTATACTTAAAAATACAAAATATTTATATATATTATAAAATATGTAAATCATATAAATATATAAATCTTATTATATTAATATAAATCATAATATATACATTTATAAATTGAAAAATTTATATAAATTTTGAAATGTTTATGTAAGTTATTTATAAGCTAACCATAAAACACTTATATAATTTAAAAAGTATTTAAATAAATTCCAAAAAACATTGTAGTTGAAATCATTTGCAAATTATAGCAAAAATAACTTAAATAAATACCATACCAAGATAGCATTTGTTTTATAAAATAATATAGATAAAGAAGTTAAAAAGAGGATTTATGTAAAAATATGAATAATATCAAAATTTTAAAATATAAAAAAGGAGAAAAAAATGAATAGACTAATATTAAATAAAGCGACTTCATCAAATGATGAGCCAACACCGGGTTATCTTTATAATGAAATTTCTCAGATGACATTTTGTTCAAAGGAATCACTAATTTTAGTTGGAGAATATTTATTGAAAAAACTACAAAGGACAGATTTAAATGTAAAATTAAAAACATTAAAAATATTAAAACATTTATGTGATAAAAAAAGATCTGATTTCAGAACTTTTTTAAAAAAAAAAATTGATATAATTAAAGAGTGTCAAACATGTAACATTGTTAATGACGAATTGAAAGGAGAAACTCCATCTATGCTTGTTAGAAAGGAAGCAACTGATTTAATTAGGTTAATTTATTCTTATGATACAATAGAAAATAATACAAAAAGTATATCAAGTAGCAGTCAAGATATAGTGAAAAATAGTAGAATAGAAGGATTTGGAAATAAGGTATTTGAGAAAGATAATCATTATAATAAGAGTGATAGAATAATAAGTGATATAAATGGAAATAAAAATTTATATAATAGTTATCATAATAAAAGTTATATGAATAAAATGTCCGGTTTTGGTAATCCATACTTTAATCAAAATCCATCTCAAAAAACAAAAGGAGAAATAGCTTTTAAATATTTGAATGAAGTTGCTAGCAAATATATACCTTCTTCTTTTGTTAATAAAATAAACAAAGTTAGTGCATCTATAACAAAAAATTATTCAAATGGATCATTAAATATTCAAAGTATAATGAATGGAAATTCATTTAATAAAAATTTTGAAAAAAATAATGTTAAAAAAATTGAAAATTATAGTTATTCTCATAATAATTATCCAAGTCTTAAGAGAATAGAAAAAGTAAGAAAACCTCAAGAATCACAGATTTCTGGAATTTATGAAACAAAAATAATCGACGATATTTTAAATACTACTGGTATTAAAAAAATACCATCTGAAAATGTTTTAAATGAATTTTCACAAAAATGTGAGACTCTAGATACAAAATTAATAGTATCTATTCTTACATCTAAGTTGAAAAATAAATATCCAAATGAAGAAGAAACTTGGAAATATAAATTTAAAGTATTATGTGTTATAAAACATTTATTAATTCATAGAAAGAAAAAAGAAAAAGAAAAAGCAATTGAAACCTTAGAATCATTAATACAAAACTTGAAAAATCAAACTTTAGAAGAATTATATAGATCGAAAGAAATTAAACAGTTAAAAAAACAGGTCATTGAAATTTTTATTTTAATGGGTTTGCAACAAAAAGTTCCAAATGATGAAATGAAAAAAGAAATTAAAGAAAATATTGAAATTCCTAATTTACTAGATATTGATGATGATATTAAGATAAATAATAATAACAGAAATACTACTACTACTACTACTACCTCTACTACGACTACGTCTACGACAAATATTATGACTAACATTAACAGTAATAATAATAATAATGATATTAATAAAAATAATGATATTAATAAAAATAATTATAATAATAATAAAAATAGTAATAATAATGATATTAATAAAAATAATAATAATAATGATAATAATAATAATGATATTAATAAAAATAATAATAATAATGATATTAATAAAAATAGTAGTTCATATTTTGATAATAGCACTAATTTGATTATTCTTGATAATATTCAAAATTCTTCTAAAATAAGTGATATTTACTTCAATGATACTAATAATAATCATTTGTCATCCCACTTAAATGATAACAACAATTGCGTTAATAATAAACCAATAAATAATATAAATCATTTGAATTATAATAAAAATTACCAAAATTATGAAAACAATGAAAAAAAAGATTATAATGAAAGTTTAATGTATAATTTTGATAATTTTTCAGTTAATAATCAAAGTATTAATAACGAATTATTCAGCAGTTTAAATGTTAAGTGTTCTAATAAAATAAATACTACTGCTAATAATAATTCGTATAAAATAAAACTCAATAATTCTTTTAATTCTAGGAATAAAGAAAATGATTATTTAGAAAGAACAAATGATTTTTTGAGTGAAAACAATTCTTCTTCTAAAATAAAAGCAGATTGTAAAAGTTTGTCAAATTTAATTTTTATAGATGATAAGAATGAAAATAATAAAAAAAACATGACATTAATAAATAATAAAAACAACGAAAGAAATTTAAATTATGATAATAATTTTTTTCATTTTGAAAGTAACAACTTTGATAATAATTCAAATTGTAGAGAAATAAAAACATCGGATTCAAAGAACTTTTATTTAAATGGTATAAATCAAATTAAACTTGATAATTCAAGTAATATGAATACAAATAATTCTAGTGATAATAAAAATATTTGTGATTTAAATAATAATTTGGATATATTTCATATAGAAAAGGACAATTCCTTTATAAAAAATGATTTAAAAGATACAAATAATTATAATGTAGATGCACCCTTAATAGATATAAATGAAAATCTTTGTAATATTAGGAGTAAAAGTTTCAACAATATAACTAATTATGAAAATAAATATTTAAATGATTTGCAGAATAATGAAAATAGTAGAAATTATAAAAGTTTTGAAACTTTTTCGAAAAAAATTATAAATGAAAAAAATAACACCAAACAATTAAATGATATAAATTGTTTTTCTGATAAATTTGAAAATTCTTTAAGTAATTCTATGAAAATTGATGATCATCATATAAATAATTTTTTTAATTCCTTTACGATAACTTCAAAAAAAAACGAAGAATGTAATAAGAAACCAAATGTAAAAATAGATGCATTTGAACTCTTAGCAAATGAACTGAAGTTGTAAATTAAAATATTTTAAGGAAAAAAAAAAAAAAAGAAAAAGAAAAATTTCATTCCTAAAATAATACATAAATATTAATATATAAATTATCAAAATTATACTATATGCATTATATTGTTTAATGTTTTTTTTTTTTTTTTTCTTTTTTTATATTGTGTTAGTATTTATACATAAAAATGTATATATAGACTTTTGTTTAAAGGTAAACAAAAAGAAATATATATATATAAAACATATTTCAAATTGATGTAAAAAAAAATGGAATAAAAATATTTTTAACCGTTGAGATATTTATATGACTATATTATTTTGGATTTTATTATTTTTGTTTTAAAAAAAAAAAAAAGAATTTTAAAATAATTATTTATTATTTTTAAATGTTATTTTTGTAAGCACACAAATTTTAAAATTATACATTTATTCTGAAGATAACAAAAATAATATTTTCATAAGCATGAATAAGAAAAAATTTATGTTTCACAAAAATATGACAAATTTTTGTTTTCTTTTTTTTTTCTTTTTTTTTTTTAAATAATGATGAATCATGAAATTGTTTATCATTAATAATAAAATATGGCTTCAAAAAAAAAAAAAAAAAGAGAAGAAGAAAATAAATAAAAAATACATAAAATAATCTTTTTATAGTACCATGTCTAAAGCATAATAAAAGAGTTATATCCTATAAATTATAAAATAGAAAAAGGCATTTTTTTTTATTTTAATATATTTAAAGTAGAAATTTATTCATATTAAAAAATAAAAAAAAAAAAATAAAAAAAAAGTTAAACAAACCTGAGAAGTGAGGGACTTTCAAATTATATTTTTTTATTATAGAACTGTAAATTAGAAAATACAAATTATATTAAAGTATCATTTTATGAATATTAAAGTAATAAATTTTAATAAAAAAAAAAAAAAAATATATATATATACCTTGGTAAAAATCTTCCTCCCAAATAATGTTTTTTCTGATAATTTTTTAATCCTTGTTTAGGTAACATTAGTGAAATATTCATTTCAGAATTAATACAAAGGTTTCCTGTATCACCTGAATAAAAATTATTTAATTTTCTTTATTATTATATCGAAATTTATTTATTATTTGTTTAAATTGTTTCTATAATATACCTGAATCAATTTGATAACCGGAAGGAACATCAACTGAGACTATTGACTTTTTACAATTGTTAATCATCTATTTAATGATAAAAATAAAAATAACCAGAAATATTTTAAACAGTGAAAATTGTAATATTAATTTTTGAAATAATTATAAAACAGAAGAAAATACATTTTAAATATATAAATATATATATATATAAAATAAATTAATGAATTACTTTAATTATATCATCAAAAGGTTTTCTTGGTTCTCCTTTAAAACTAAATCCAAAAATAGAATCTATTATCAAATCATATTTATTTAGTTCTATTGAAAAAAGAAGGTAAACATTTAACAAAAATTAGTTATATAGACAGAAAGAATCATTTAATTATCATTAACAATATTATCATTAAATATAATAATATAATAAGCAAAAAAATTTCTAACATCTTCTTCTATTTTATAATATTTTTGTAAAAATTAAGAAAATCTTTTTTTTTAATTGATTTCACTTTTTTTTTTTTTTTTTTTAATTTACCATCTGGTGTAATATCTTTTAAAATTTTAATTTCATAATTCTCTAATAATTTTAATAATCGCTTAAAAAAACAATAAAAAAATATGTTATATTGCAAATATATGATTATTTAAAATTTATTTTAAATATTTAATATTTCTAACTTTAAATAATATTTTATTATTTTCTTTTGGGTAATTTACAGCAACATCATATCCAAATTCCTTTAAATGGCGAGCTGCAACTAAGCCATCTCCCCCATTATTACCCGGACCACAGCATATCAAAATTTTAGGGAATTTCGAAAGGCTATACTCATGAAAAATTATTTGAGATATTGATAATCCAGCCAATTCCATTAATTGCTCAGTTGTGTATCCAATTTCTTCAGACATCAATTCATTATCTATAGTTTGTGCTAAAGCTTGAGATAAATACTTTAAATAAAACATAAAAAAAAAATTTGATTTTAAGCAGAGAAATAAATACTTTTTTTTTTTTTTTTTTTTTTAGTTTATTTTATTTTTTATTTTACAGTTATTTCCATTTTATTTATTTTTAAAATGTTCCTATTTTTTTTTTTGGAAATAGCGTATGTTTTATTTACATAGATACTACTTTTCAATTTTAAAAAGTTAATAAAATTTAAAAGGTATATATTATGGCGAGATATAAGAAATTTGTATGTCCTTATTAAAAAATTCCTTTTCATATTATAAAATTTTTTTGCAAAAATATGTTATATTTATATATGCACAAATGCATCTTATTAAAGTAACAATAATAAGAGTTTCAATCATTTATGTAAATTCTAATTTTTTTTTTAAAAAAAAATATAAGCAGTACTTTTTATTACTTTTAAAAATTTCATATTCATATTTTTTTTTTTTTTTTTTTTCATTTTTTAATTTAAAAAATCAACAAATGAAAAAAATATAAATTGCTTCAATTTATTATAAAAAAATTTATACGCATATATATATATATATATATATACATATGAAGAATTTTACTTTTTATAATCAACAATTTTATTAAACAGTTATTTAACACCAATATATATAACAATAATAATATAAAAAAAAAAAAGAATATGATAGGTTAAAAAAAATATAAAAAAAAAAATTTTTTTTTTTTTTATCGTTATACACTAAAAATATATATACGTCGGCTTTCTTAAAATATTTGTATTATACTAATTTTTTAGGACTAAATTTAGAACTAAAAAAATGCATATAATCTATTAATACATATCCATGTTAATTTTTTTTCTTTTCTTCTTCTTTCTGACTTAAAATTCTTAATAAATGTGTAAACAATCCTACTAAATCTAAGTAGAGACAAATGGAATGCATCTACAAAAATAAAGAAGAAAAAAAAAAATTTATAATAAGAATAAAAATAAATTTCAATATAAAATATAAACATTATGATTAAAAAAAACATAAAATATTTTATAAGTATATTTAGGTGTACTTATAAAAACTGTATTAAAAACTCTAAAAATATGTTATTGTAATAAAATGGGAAAAAAAAATTAATACAACATATATATATACATATATATATATCTATATATTTTTATTTTTATTTAATTATTTTCCATTTATCAATATAATATTAATAAATATTTTAATATATATTATTACTATATAATCTTTATTTCCTCTACGAAAATCAAATAATGTAATTTGAGTATCAAATAATACAAATCTGAAGAAATAAAAAAAAAAAAAAATGTTAATATAAATTTATTTTTTTTTTTTAAATTATAGACATTTGGAAACTATGATATTTTATTTTATCTTTTTTTTTTTTCTTTTTTATATTTTAAATTGTATATATAATAATTACCCCATATACATAAAAAATCCAATATATAATAATGTTGTATCAATAAATTTTGATCTTATAAAAAAGTTCATAAAAGAAATTAAAGTAACGTAAGAGCATACAGCACATAATGCGGCACTTAAAAATAGAGAAATCCTAAAGAAAAACAATATTATATTAAAGGTATACATATTAATTAAAAACATTAAAATATGATATAATCCATTTAAAAAATGGTTCATTTTAAAAATATACTTAAAAAATAGTATATACTAAATTTAAAAATTCAATATGTAAAAAATTTTACATTTATAAATTTATTTTTTATTTCTTACCTATTTTTTGAAAATATGGCTGCCAAAGAAAAACAACAAAATATTGACAAGCTACCAAATAAAGCTAGAGGAAGTATTGAAGGATTTAAATAATTAACATAACTAATGTAATCACTAATTAAAATCCCAATTGACACAGACATACCACCAAAATAAAGTAATCTCTTTTTTGATCTAGTAGCTAAGTCATAATGAGAATTACATGACCACGCCAATGCAAAGGAACATATTAAACTGACTATAGATGCTAAAAATCTTGGGATCTTTATAAAATAAATATCAAAATAACAGCTTAATGCAGTAACCATAGTACCTATGGCTAAAAGGCCATATACTTTAATTAAATGATTTTTTTCTTCATGTGTTAATGGTGAAAAATTGAAAATATGAGATAATTTTATATCATTTTGTCGTTTTCTTATTTGTTTGAGAAAATCCATTTTTAAATATTCATTAAAAAAATAAATTATTGATATATTTGTATATTTATATATATCAGTATATATATGTATATTTTATATAAACTTACGATGAAATTAATTTTTATATTAAATTTTTATTTTTTATAATTACTTTTTAAATAAAATACATAATTTCATTTATTCAAAAAAAATTCAATAAAAAAATATGTGCACGCAAGAAAAAAAAAAAAAAAAAAAAAAAAAAAAAAAAAAAAAAAAAAAAAAAACCTTCATATAAATATATATATTTGTATATTACAGAATAAAAAAAAAAATTTGTACTTATATTTAACATATAGAACAGTATAAGAAACTCTATTCTTTAGTGAAAAGTTCTTATTTTAAAATATATTAAAATATTTTTTTTAATCTGAATTTATAAAATGATGCTCATAATTTTATGTGAAGATTAAAAAGCATTAAGTATTCTTACAAATATAATACTCTATTTTTTATTTTTCCTTATATATATATTTTTTTAATTCCTCCAGAAAATTACATGGATTTTTATTTATAATTTTTTTTTTTTTTTTTATTTTTTCACTTTTTTTTTTTTTTATTATAAATTTAGTAGTATGGTTATTTATTGAAATTATTTGCTTTTATTTTCTTTAAGCATATAAATTTTAATAATCGTACAAATGCCGTAGATATAAATTTCAGAATTGTTACAATTTTATGGCAATTTAATTTGGACAATATTATGAAAAAATCCTGTAAAAAATTATGCTTTTAATGTGCACAATTAAAAATTTATATATATATATATATGATTAAATTTTATTTAAGTGTATAAATATAAGTTACATTCTTATAATCAAATAATAATAACATTATCTTTTTGTAATTACATAAAATTTGTTTGTTTTATGTTTTTAGATGCAACTTTTTTAAAGAATTACAGCAGTATATTTTAAAAATATATTAACGGATATGTAACACATAAAATATATATTTTATATTGTTAGCTGCTTAAGTAAATTTAATTTTTTTTTATTTTCAATTAATATGTACTTTAAATTTGATATACATTATAATCGTATAAAAATTACCTTCTTTTTAACGTTCTTCATTTATATTTAATGCTTCCCCTCTTTTATTAAAAAATTTACAACTCTTTATGATATTCTAAATACATCACTCATTTCTTTTATACGTATACTTTTGAATATTATAATTCCTAATATGTTTTATTAAAGTGCTTAGATATAATATTACCTTTAAGATATTTATGTATATAATAATTTAAAAAAAATATATTTTATAACATTAAAACAAAATAAAAAAAAATTAATATAATAAGTAAAATAAACAAATGAAAGAATGTACAATAACGAATATAAAAAAAAGCCTATTTTGTGATTAAATAGATTATTTAAATATGGTAAAAAAAAAAATAAGAAAATTGCAAAAAAAAAAGATACATATTATACGAAATAGATATATTTAAATTAGGTAAATTAATTTAATTAAATATAAAAAAAAAAAAGGAAAAAGAGAACACTAGATGTAAAAATGAAATTAAATAAAGAAAAATAATTTAAAAATACTTTAAATAAATAATTTCATAAATTACATATACATTTACAATTTACTTTAAATAGGAAGAAATTATATAAAATAAAAAAAATTCCTTATATACATACTAATATGTATGAACATTAGGAATAGTTCCGTATGTATAGTAATGTGTTCCATGTAATACACTTTCAATATGTTCTGCTGTTTGAAAAGAAAAAATATTTCCACCAACTTGTAAAATTCTATAAAAACTCCATATTAATTGTATAACAAAAAAAGACAATAAAAACATAAACAGGTGAATTATCATTTCTAATAATCCATAAAACATATTATAATTATATACTATCTTCCTGTGCCAATAAAAATTTTCATAATACCATTGAACACTATGAGATGTGCATGTATTATAAAGACATATAAAAAATTCAATAACTTCAACCATATAATTTATGATAACTATATTATAAGCTATATATGCTGTAAAAGCATTTTTATGAGAAACTGATACAAATATTAATATAGCACATATAAAATTAAAAGTTGATATTATTATAAAAAGTGTTACATTATAATGTGATGTATGTGTTAGCATGACAATAGATACTAATACTAGAAGTGTTGCATAAATAATAGTTGCTGTTCCTACAGAAAAACATAAAAATCTTTTCATTGTCCATCTTTTCATACCTTGTGAATTAAACATTTTCTAATCATATTTATAATCTACATATATATAAATTTCATTTGTTTCTCTTTTCTCAAAAAAAAAAAAAAAAAAAAAAAAAAAAAAAAGAAATAGAATAAAAATTAAATGTAAAATGCCTATACTAAAAAAAAAAAACCATAAGCAAAAAATAAAAAAAATGTGGTAAATCTAATGAATTATATTACAGATCATTTGTTTCACATCACTAAATAAATATTTAATTATAATATTAAAGACATTTTTATCTTGTTTTTTTCTTTTTAAAATATAACATACATAAAATAAAACTTTTTTTTGTTAACGCGAATAATATATATTTTTACAATTGAATTCTATAATTGGAAACAATAGATTTTATATTTTAAATATTCAAATGTTATAATATCTATATTTTTATTTTTCTCTTAAACTATAGTGAAAAATTAGATTATTTTTTATTAAAAAAAAATTACCAATTTTTTTTTTTACTTTTAGTATATAATGAAAAATATATTCATTGATAATAAAAAATGTGCCTTCTAGTGCAGTGTTCCTTTTTTATATAGTACTAGTTATAAAATATGTATAAAATACACAATTTTTTAAAATATATATAAAAAAAAAAAAAAAATATAGTATAAAATATTCAAAAATATAAATTGATATTAGAGATACATTCCATTCCTAAATAGCATTAATAGCTCTATTTTTTTTATGTTAATCTCTCCTATAATTAGAATAATTTATGAAAAAAGAAAAAACCTAAAATGCATGACAAATTTATTTCTTAAAATGATTAGATATATTTCCAATATATGATGTCTATTAAAAATAAAATAACTTTCAAGAGCAAAAAAATTAAAATGAATAATATATTATATTTTTATAAGAAATGCAGCACATTTATATCTACTACTAATCCTTGAAAATATTTTTTTTGAAGTGTGGAAGGACACATTTTTAAATAATTAAAATTTTTATTTATTTAAAATATAATTTCTCCTTTTTTTTTTTTTTTTTAATGTATACATATAAAAATATGCTATTTTATTTTAAACACTAGTTATTAAAAAATGTATTCATTTTATTCTCATTTTAATTTATAATAATGCATTTAATTTACATAACTTGGTGATTTAATTTATTCTATACTTATTTTAAAATTAATTCTTTAAATATATATATATTTTTTGAAGATATTACTTAGAATTTTATATAAATTTTTTTTTAAGATATATTAAAATGGAAGAAAAGATACTATTTGAAAAATATTACCATGAATATAACGCATTTAGACTTCATTTTAATATATTAGATTCAACACAATTATATTGTAAGAGAAATATGAAATTATTTCTTGAAAGTGGGAAATTAAAGAATGATAATATGATTATTGTCAGTTGTGATTCTCAAACAAAAGGAATTGGAACTAGAGATACAAAGGAAAATGTAGATAGAATGTGGCTATCTGAAAAAGGAAATATTTTTACAACTTTTGTTTTCTTATGGGATAAAAAAAATTTAGAGAAAACTAGTTGTTTAGCCCAAACTTCTACTGTTGCAGTGAGCAAAACATTGGAATTTTATAATTTAAAAACTCAAATAAAGTGGATAAATGATGTTTTAATTAATAATAAAAAACTTGCTGGTTGCCTTGTTAATTTACATTACTTAGATGATTCTTCATTAGATAATTATGTATGTATTATGGTAGGAATAGGAGTAAACGTAGAATTAATAGATGATAAAAATATATTAAATAATAATTTTACATCAATTAAAAAGGAATTAGAAGAAGATTTTAATAATCCCAGCTCAATTCCATCAGTAGAAGATGTTATGGAAAAATTAATTGAAAATTTTCATCTAGCTATTAATCAATTATACAATGAAGGATTTTCATCACTTTTAGATTATATATCACTACGTCTTCTATATAGAGAAAAAAAAGTATTAATAGATCAGGATAATAATAAAATTTTTGGCTATTTAAAAGGACTAGCTAATGATGGATCTATTTTATTATTAGATGACAATAATCAAACTATTAATGTAAATAATGGGCATTTGTTTCCTTACGAAAAAAATTAAATTATACTTAAGAATAATTAAAAATATGTATACTATACATATATATATTATTTAATTAAAACGAAACTTATTCTATTTCGGTATTTCCATTAAGGATAAACCAGCATTTATATATATATTTTTATATTATCAATCGTTTTATTTTATATATTTTATCATTTATTAAATAAAAAAATATACATATAAAAATCATATCATGGGAATATTTATATTTATATGATATTTTCATTTTTGTTAAATCTTTCTTCTATTTCATTTTTTACATTTATAAATTTTCAAATTATATATAAAAAATGACAAAGCAAAAAAAAAAATTAAATTTACAAACGAGGAAAAAATAATAATGAAAAAAGAAGAAAATGATAAAGATAATAAAAATAGTTTTAATTTTTTTTTTTATATTTTTATTTTTGTTATAACATTTTCGTAAAATAAAATTTTATTTCCTTAATTTTTAACTAAGAAAAAGAATAAATTTTTTATAACTTTTCTTTTTTCTCTATTTCTTTTTTTTATTGTTAATAATTAATATAAACGAAAATAGAAGTAATACTAAATTTAGTTTTATCATTTAGTAACTTTTAGTTAATTTAAAATACTTGTTAGTAATTCTGTACATAATTCTAGTATGGCAATACTTTGCGCTTTTCATTTAAAAATTAAATATAAATTTTTATATAATTTTTTCTAATATTTAAATAACTTTATTTAAAGAGCATTTATATATTTAATCCTTTTTGCATACTTTTATTATATTATAAAATGCTTTTCATATTTTTTATATTATTAAATACGTGTGCAAATATGTTTTATTATTTTTATAATTATTAAATTTATTAACAGTACAGTCAAAATTAAAAAAAAAAAAAAATAAAAAATTGAAATTAATTTAAAATTATATAACCTAATAATAAGATAGGAATTAAAAAAAAATTAATTTAATTTGAAATTAAAATAATTTTTATTAAATTTTAATAAATTTTATATTTTTCTTAATTTTTTTTTTTTTTATTATTTTTTTTTTTTTTTTTTTTTTTGTGAATAAATATTATTATTTTTATTTTATTTATTAATTAAAACAATTTCATGAATACATCTACCTAGAAAATATATGGGCAATTCAACAGAGAACGATTGTTATATAACGCCATCAACTTCTTTTAATGGAGATGTAGAAAATGAAAATGAAAAAAAGCTTTTCTGGGTTCCTGATGAAGAAGTAACTAATTGTTATAGCTGCAATGTTTTTTTTAATGTAAGAATAAGAAAACATCATTGCAGAGCTTGTGGGAATGTATTTTGTTCAAATTGTTCTGATAATAAGCTTAAAATTAGTGAATATTATTATGCAGAAAAGGTAAGAGTTTGTGATAGGTGTTTTATAGAAAGATCTTCTCCTCAAACTTTATTATTACAAGAAGATCTAGGAGCAAGAAAGCAAATAAATCAAGATTTAAAAAAAGCTTTAAGTGAAAAAATGGCAATTGTAGAAAGATTTAAAACCTTTTTAATAGAATTTGATAGTGAAATACTAAATAACAATAATTATCAAGAAGATTCAACTGATGTAATTTCTTTATTAAAAAGGGGAGAAAAAGGATTAAAAATATTGAATGATAAAATAAAAAATTATGATACAGTTATTGAAAAACAGAAAAATGAATTGGAACAATTAAAAAAGGAAAAAGAACAAAAAATTGAATTAAATAAAATATTAAATTTAAAAAATCAAGAAATTTTACAAAAAAATATGAATATAAAAAATCTTTTAAAGGAAAAAAACGATTTAATATTAGTAAAGGAAGAATCAGAAGACATTATTGAATTATACAAAAAACAAGTAGAGAAATTAATTATAAGATGCAACAAATTAGAAATGGAAAAAAAAAGTAGAAGTAAAAGTGAAAATAATAATTATTCTTTTACTAAAACTAGTAATGCAACTTCTAGTTCGTATTTTCAAAATTCCTATAGCACACCTCAAAATGAAATGTGTTTATCATATACAGTAGCTGATGGACCAAGTGAAAATGTAGAAGAAAATTGTTGTAATCGCTGCCAAAGAAGAATATGTTTCATTATGTGAAAATAAATATATATTTATATAAAATAAATGTATATGTATATTTAAATATTTGTAATCCTTTTTCATTTATTTCTATAATTTGTAAAACTTTGTTTGTATTTAAATAAAATCATAATTTTTATTAGTATATTTTTTTAATTGATAACTTATATTAAGTTATTTTATTTGTATTTAATTAATAATTATTTTTATTATTATGATATGCGCCTTCAATTTTTTGGGAATGTTGCCTGTTTGTGTTTTCATATAACGTTAATAATTATTAATTTTTTTTTATTAATATATATTGTTATATATATTTTTTAATTATTTTTTTCAAATATGTTCTTTTTTTTTCTTTTTTTTTTTTTTTTTTTTTGT